TCTTTACCGTGATTTTTGAAAAGGTATTACTTCACTATAAATTGTTTCTGATTTTTCAAAATCAAATAACCTCTTTCAAATTAAGAAAAACTCTCTACAAAACTTTAACAAGAATCTTTCTATATTCAGATTTATGAACATAATTTTCATTGCATATTGAAAGTTTTCTTTAGCACAAAAGAGAGTAGTTGTTTCTGATTTTCATATTTGATAGAGAACATCAACCAAGTGACTGATTCCTTACTCACCTTCATCCAAACTCTTGTAAAAATCAAATACACTTATTATATATTTGTTATACAGGATTGTTGGAAGCAAATTGTGCATTGAAGAGGATTGTTCTTCTTGCACTTAGTGATTTAGATCTTAAAGGTTTTAAGAGACTTTGATCTCCCTATAGGTTAGATTGTAAGCATCACCATTAGTGTGAATAGGATGTACAATCATTCTAACTATAGTGAAATCTCTTACTTGTGTAAGGGGACTGGAGTACTCTCGGCCTATGAGGGGAACCAATATATATCGTTGTGTCTTTTTACTTTCTGCACTTTACCATTTCCTAACACCATCATAACCAGAAAAATACTTTATATGTTTAACAAAAACCGGTAAAAAAATTTAAAGAACCTAATTCACCCCCCCCCCCCTCCTTAGGCGTTCTCTGAACCTACAAAACTTTATAATTTCCTGCAATAACTTTCATATTTGAATCTCATGGGCCATTGGCCAACATGCTTCATAAATGGGCCTATGGATACGTGGGTCTTTCTGATTTAGAAAGCCCCACTCTCGTGAATTAAAATACACCCCCCTGATTGACTTAGATTTAAGAATGAGCCATCAGATACTGCTGAACCATCCTTAATTAAAATATTTCTCTTCTATTTTTAATCTTGAAAATACGATTATAAAGGTAGGGCAAATTTGGGGTACGATAATATACACAATTGAGTTCCAAAAGCAGGGATTATCACATGTACTTATTCTGCTATTCATGCATCCCTCAAGCAAGTATCCCACTCCAGATGACATAAACAATATCATTTCAGTGGAGATACCATCTGAAAATGATGATAGACAAGTGTATCATTTGGTCAAGACACATATGATTCATGGTCCATGTGGTTTAGCAAATCGGTTTTCACCTTGCATGAAAAACGAGAAGTACTCTAAATTCTTTCCCAAACAATATCAGCCTCAAACAATTGTAGATCACGTTGGATATCCTATGTACAGAAGAAGGTAAACTATAATTACAGTGATGGAGAAGAATGTAGTTCTCGATAACAGATACGTTGTTCCTTATAACCCATTTCTGTTGAAGAAATTTCAGGGACACATTAATATGGAGTGGTGTAATCAGGGTACTTCGATCAAGTACTTATTCAAGTATATTAACAAGGGGTGTGACAGAATTACCACAACTGCTGTCGATAATGAGACAAATGAAAGTTCACATATTAGAAATGTCGACGAAATCAAGCAATATATTGATTGTAGATATGTCTCACCAAGTGAAGCATGTTGGAGGATCTTTTCATTTCCTATTCATGGGAGATATCCTGCAGTTGAAAGATTGTATTTTCATCTTGAGGGCGACAATCCGGTTTACTATACTAATTATGAAATGATAGATGAAGTCCTTGACAAACCGAGTGTGAAAGAATCAATGTTTACTGTTTGGATGGAAGCAAACAAGACATATGTAGAGGCAAGAAATCTGAAATACTCTAATTTTCTGACCAAGTTTGTTTATGATAAAAGATATCGACGATAGAGACCACGCAAGGGAGGCCAAACAATTGGTAGACTAATTTGGGTTCCTCCAAGTACCAGTGAGCTGTATTACCTAAGAATTATGCTTATAGTTGTCAAGGGGCCAACATGTCATGGTGATATTAAAAAAGTGGGTGGAATAATTCGGGATAGTTTTCAGGACGCATGCTTCGAAATGAGATTTCTTAACGATGACAAGGAGTATGTTTCAACCATAAATGAGGCGAAGGATCGGGGTTCTATACATTTTTTGAGAAAGTTATTTGTTACTATGTTATTGTCTGGAACAATTGATAGACCACGACATGTTTGAGAAAAAACTTGGAGGACGTTATCTAATGGTATTCTTTATCAACAAAGACAAGAAACAAATAGAAGATGTACATTCCAGTTTTTTTATTATTTATAGTATATTAATATATATTTTAATAGATGGCCAATCAGTGTTACTGTTACATTTATATATCAGCAAGATATTGGATACACATTATTTATAATTATAAACATTATAAAAGGTATTATTTAAAAACGATGCCCACAATTGTCAGTTGTAATATACTTCACATTTAATTGAATAATGCTGCTACTGAAAAAATCTGCATATGGCTGATACTGATGTATCTTAATGCAGCGTGTAAACATTCATATTGATATACATGTTGTTGCTATTGATATATTTAATTTGTTGTTGCCATTTTGTATTTTATGTTGTTGTTGTAATTTCATTGTAATGCAACATTTTCAAGTATATACTCAATGTTGCCGTAAATTTTACTTTGCCGTTAATTTCTATAATTTGAACATTTATGTGATTATTGTCATAAATCTGTATGTGAAGTGTTGGTTGTATATTTTTTATAGATAGTTGTCAATAACAGAGTCGAAGAATTTGACACTAATTGAGATTGAGAATATGTTACAATCAAACCGAAGAAGTTTGCATGAATTTAAAGATATGCCCCTTGTCCATATTCATATGTCACACACCACGTGGGAAATAGACTGATTTGGGACGAACGTAATTACAATTCCCAAACTGAACGACAAAATTTCCAAACTCTCTATCGCACACTTACAGGTTATTCTTTTAATTTGTATTCATAACCTGTGATATTAAAATTGTTTTTTTTTGTTATACACATAGTAATTTTTCCATTTTAATTCACAGATGAACAACGTTCAATACTTGATACGATTATGGAAGCTGTAGACAAACAAAGAGGAAGTTGTTTTATCTATATGGTTATGGAGGGACCGATAAAACTTTCATGTGGAGAATATTATCAAGTGCACTTCGTTCACAGTAAAAAATTATTCTTACCGTTGCTTCAAGTGGAATAGCTTCTTTATTATTTCCAAGTGGAAGAACTGCTCACTCAAAGTTCAAAATACCAGTGCCAACACTTGACAACTCTACTTGCAATATTGACAAAAACGATGAACATTCACAGTTATTTGAAGCAACCGATGTTATAATATGGGACGAAGCACCTATGTCTCATAAGAGCTATTTTGAGGCATTTGATAAGATACTCAAAGATGTCATGAGCAAACACGGTATTGCGAATAAAATCTTTGATGGAAAAGTTGTTGTTTTTGGAGGAGATTTCAGACAGATACTTCCAGTTGTTCCAAGAGCGGGGTGTTCTGATATTGTCCATGCATCAATATGCTCATCATATGTATGAGACTATTGTCAAGTTCTAACACTACCAAAAAAATATGAGGCTGCAACAGGGAAGAGATAATACAAGTTCAAATGAATTAACTGAGTTTTCAAAATGGATCTTAAATGTTGGAGATGGTAAGATATGTGAACCAAATGATGGATTGGTTGAGATAGAGATTCCTCAAGAATTATTGATATCCAATTTTGATGATCCTATAAAAGCTATTGTTGATAGCACATATCCCAATTTGCGTGGCAATTTTTAGGATGTTGGATACTTACAAGGAAAAGCTATTCTTGCATCAACCATTGAAGTTGTGGACAAAATCAACCACTATGTATTGGACATGATACCTGGTAATATAATTTTGACTTTAATCTATATATATATGCACACAACTTCCAACAACAAATTTATATCATGTTGGTTCTATTAATGTATTAATATTTACACTTCATGACATTTATTAGGAGAAGAGAAGTAATATCTAAGTTTCTATTCAATTGATAGAACCGATAAAACTTATATTGAAGCTTATGAAGTTCTAACCCCAAAATTCCTAAGTAAACTAAGAACATCAGGGCTTCTAAACCATAGGATCAAATTGAAGGTTGGTACCCCCATCATGCTAATGAGATATTTGGATCAAACTGATGGATTGTCCAATGGAACAAGATTAATTGTTACAAGGTTAACAAATCACGTCATTGAGGCAAAAATTATGTCAGGAAAGAACATATGTAACATTTTTTACATTCCTCGAATGTCTATGTCACCTTCTGAGTCACCGTGACCATTCAAGTCGATTAGGAGACAATTTCCAATCATTGTCTCATATGCAATGACAATTAATAAATCCCAAGGTCAATCGCTTGATAATGTCAAATTATATTTGCCTACACCTATTTTTAGTCATGGGCAATTGTATGTTGCAATTTCGAGGGTTACAACCAAAAGTGGTCTTAAAGTCTTAATACATGACAAGCAGAATGCACCGTATTCGACCATTACGAATGTAGTATACAAAGAAGTCTTCCAAGCACTTTGTTAATTGGTAATCCTTTTCACCTATTCCTTTGTGATACAAATTAAATCCCAATATTTAATTTATGCGTTTAAATACAATATATTTACATTAATTTTTAAAAATACTTAATATTTAATATCTAATTGATATATTTTTCCATGCAGATGTATGATGCGAGTCATTATTATTGACTAATCCATTTATTGATAAGTTCAACTATGAAATTTATAATATTGAGAAATTTACATTTGGACTTATAATACTGATAAATTTGAATATTATCAGTGCAAGTCATGTAAATTTTATTGTTTAATTTACTATTTTATTCAAAATTAATTACATTTTAATTATTTTTTATTAATTTAATTTTAATATAATATAGAACTTTACAAATCAATAATGGGATATCACAGTTTCCCATCGGTTATGGTAATAATCAAAATTTATATTTGGTAGTAGATTTTCAGATAATTTAAAAGTACAAAACCCTAAACCCTGCCGGAACCATCTCCACCAAGAAACCAACGATGAGAGGTATCAAAGGAGCGATATCCGTCGCCAGAGCCTTAAAAGCCAACTCCACCACCGCAACCACCCTTCGACCGCCGCGAGCAGCTCCATATCTCACAACCTGCTGGACTTCTTCCGACCCTCGGAATCTCGTTGATCGCCACGACCTATCAACTTCCCTAGTTCTTCGAAGCAACGCGGTAGGCTTCATGTATCATTACAGTTCTATCACTGCCAAATCTCTGGCGGAGCAAGAAGTGGTTCTCTTTCAGTATGAAGCTTGCCCCTTCTGCAACAAGGTTAAAGGTAATTTTTTATTCGAATTGTTTATCCCAAATTGAATTTCTAATCTTTGCGCTATGAATTTCCTAATTTCTTGTTTTTTTTTTCTTCTACAGCTTTTCTAGATTATTATGATATTGAGTACAAAGTGGTGGAGGTTAATCCGATGAATAAGAAAGAGATCAAATGGTCGGATTACAAAAAGGTTCCTATTGTCACTGTTGATGGTGAACAATGGGTTGATTCTTCAGGTTTGTATAATTTTTTTATTAATACTTTCATTTGTGGAATATTGTGTATTGTTCATGTGTATAAATTGTTGTTCCAAAATGTGAATTTCACACTTGTCAGATATAATTGATGAATTGATCAAAAGGATACGTCCGAATTATGACCTAGATAATGATGAAGAGAAGAAGTGGCGCCGGTAGGTTTTTCTAATTGTTTCTTGTTTATTTGAACTACTCTGTTGCTTACCACTAGGAAAGCAAAAACTATATTCTTTGATTAAAATATGGTTGCTCTTGCGCCAATGCCAATGTTTTAGACTATGTTTGAATATTGTAAAACGAATGGAGTGGAGTGGAGCTGAGCGGAATGGATAAGAATGTCATTCCATTGTTTTGATATTTCAGGATGGAATAGAGCAATTTTGTCATTCCGCCCAAATCGGAGAGTACAAAAAACAATGGAAAGTGATAGAATGGGATGAAATGCATTCCATCAGGTTCCGCTCCATCCCATCCCTTTTTAATTAATCAAAACAATGGAACATAAATTTATACCATTCCATCTTATTTCGTTCCATTCCATCAATCCAAACATAGTCTTAAATTGCATTTGTGGTTATGTTATCATTGTAGAGTTGTGGGTAAATACAACTGACATGGCCACAACTTGCCAACTACAATTTGAAACCATGGATATTGATGCTATTATTATGAGTTTTTTTTCCCTGCAAATAATAGATGCAAAATTAAGTATATATGGCTTTGGCCTTGATTTATGACACTAGGGCTATGCTCTGACTTTTTTTGTAGGTGGGTGGATAATCACTTGGTGCATGTTTTGTCGCCAAACATATATCGAACTGTTTCGGAAGCTCTTGAGTCATTTGATTATATCACCACTAAAGGTAAGGTTTTGAATACTAATGTATCTGTTGTGAACAGTCACTTCGTCAAAATCTGATGTGAAAAGAATTAGTTTTTAAAATCTGATGAATCTTTATATTCAGTAATATCATGCAAATTTGTTGATATTATGTGAACTATGGAATGTATATTAAACTGTTTCTGTGGATTTATGACGTTACTTACCTTCTGATTCATCAATCCGGTTTGCATGGTTCAAATTTAAGTAAGCCCTGTTCAACTAAGCCGTTTTTTAAAAAGGATACCAGTAGAGGGATTAGTGTGTTTTAAAAGGATACTGATAGAGGGAGAGTGGTATTTCCTTTCAATGCACTGCAGAATAATGTGTGCACCTCACTTTATGTTCTTGCTTTTCGCACTACTCAGCTTGAAAAGTAATTCTACATTAGTGTAGCATTCACAAAGCAAGATTTAACAATCATTACAAGGGTGATTACTTTTTATCAATTCCCCTTCACCGTCTGCTGCATCTTTTTTTTTTTTTTCATTTTCTGTTTATTATACTAAGTCTAGCACGTTATTGAGTGTAAAGAATTTTTGAAATCTCCCTGTAAATACACAGGCAATTTCAGTTTATATGAGAGGTTAGTGGCAAAGTATGGTGGGGCTGCTGCTATGTATTTTGTGTCGAAGAAATTGAAGAAGAGACACAATATCACTGATGAGCGTGAAGCATTGTATGGAGCTGCTGAACAATGGGTTGATGCGTTGAAGGGCCGAGAATTTCTTGGTATGTCAAGTTCCATGAGCATATTTGAGATTGGAATATGCTACAATAAATGTTAGTTACATATGTTACCATCAAGACTCACACATGCTTATATTTTTCAATTTTGGCAGGTGATTTGGAACCTAATTTAGCAGATCTTGCTGTCTTTGGTGTTCTAAGACCTATCCGCCACCTCAAGTCAGGTCGAGATATGGTAGAGCATACAAGGATTGGAAGATGGTTTTCTAAGATGGAATATGCAGTGACAGGCATCGTGAATAATTGAGCATAGGTAGAATATTTTTAAGTGAGTTTCAAGTTATAGACAAGGAAATATAAAGAAACGAGAAATGAAATAATTTGCTTCTACTATTGTTTGGTAAGTCTTTGTAAGCAAAACAAGTTCTGTTCTACTTTATTTATCTTGTGGTTGTATTGGAGATATGTAAAATCCACGTATATGTATAATCACTTTTATTTTTTATTTTTTAACAGCGGGGTTGGATACATGAAAAAATCCCACCCCATAGGATGCTCCTCTTCCGCAACGAAAAATCCAAAATGCTCATAAATTTCAGATATGCATTCGGAAGCACATTTTCTACGCACATTTTTAGCACTTTATACACACATTTTAGCATTTCGTAAGTGAGTCATCATTATTTTGTTCAAAAAATTTGTACGAAAATGCATATTTGAAATTCGGAGATGTACTTCCAAGTTCCTTAAACTACGATACTTTTCTAATAATTGTGCTACCACACCTTTAGAATTTGGACCACTCTAAATTTTTTCAAAACACTCAGCAACATACAATTTAATTTCAAATGAAAAACTTTTAATTACTTTGTTTATAAGCTCTCTCTAGTAAAATATATCAAATATGCTAACATCAAGCATAAAAAAAAACGAAGAACTTTATCAGTACACTCTCTTCTAAAATATTTGTGAAGGTAGCAGAAACTAAATATTCCTTGTGGTTTAAGATTTTTGCACATAAATTAAAGAATGTAATAATGTTGTTATAAGACATTATACTTTTATAAAATAAACTCTATTAATATATTGAAAGTAGTGTAGAAAGTAAAAAGTAAGGGACACAATTGAAAAAAATAGTAATCATTATTACATTGAAAAGTGAAAATGATAATTATTTTAAAATAAAATTTATTTATTAAAATAATAGTCATTTTGAAACCGAGGAAATATATAGTTTTCTTAGGTCACTGAGAACAGAAAAAAAACATTATTTTCCTAGACCACTATTATTTTCCTTTCCCAAGATTGACGTTCAAATCTTGTCATTGTCGAAATAGGGGTGGTAACCATTTACGGAAGTGTATATTCAGATTCGTTTCGGATATGTATTTTTGAACATTTTTTATAGATAAAATTGAAGTGTTTCACTTGTAACGTCTTTGTTAGTGTAATTTTAAGTGCGTCTGAATATGCATCTCTAGATACAACAAAGACGTTTTTTGATTTTTAGAGGTGTGAGACGCAATCTATAGGGTAGGATGAGTATTTCTCTAAAAAATATCTCCACTCTAGATTAAGCTCAATAATCTTTCTCATATATTTATATACAGGATTGAGCTCAATAGTTAATATGGTCGAACAAATCTTGGCCCATAATGGCCTCAATTGCGGCTTGCTTGGGCAAGCTTTAAGTTTCCTTTTCGCCAGGTCGGGAAGGCATGCTCTAATTTTCACTCCCCTGGTGGAGTCTTTTTCGAGAGGAACTAGCTCGAAGTCGCCGTCCGGGATGGGTCGTGCGTGACTTGAGAGTTCGTTGCGATAGGAGAGGAAGTTGACTCACCGTCTTCGACCATATGCTCCTTCGCCTTCCTCCTTTGCTCGACACGGTCTTCCACGAAGAAGCGACTGTCGAGGTCAATGGTGTCAACCCTCGACAACGGCTTGACCTCCTCGGAATTAGAGGGTAGTGTGGCTCCAGTGGTCGTTCGAGGTTGGACGCTGATGGAACTGAGGCCTTTGGCGGAAGCTTCGAAGCACCTTCTAGAAGCTTGGATGTCCCCGTGGAGGGTGGCGACCAAACCTTCGGCGGTGTAATATTTCATCTTGAGATGAACGGTAGAAGGGACCGCGATGAGTTTGGCGAGAGTGGGTCTCCCGAAGATGCACTGGTAGAGAGACGGGCAATCTACCACCAAGAATTGGGTCTTGATGGTTATGGCCGTTACCCCTCTCCTGAATGTGATTATCAGCTCTACATATCCTCAGGGCTTCGCGCTGGCCCCGTTGAAACCCTGGAGATTAGATCCCATGTAGGGGGTCAAGTGGCTCTCGTTCAGCTGTAAGGTGGTGAATAGTTAGGCGTACATAATGTCCACCGAACTGCCTTGGTCGACCAGAATGCGACACACGTCAAAGTTAATCATTCGAGCTCTCACGAGTAGTGGGATGCTGGAATTCGGGGCCCCGCCCAACAACTCTTCTCTGTAGAAAGCGAGGGGATGAGATCCTCCTCAGAATTTATCGAGCATGGCGTCCATATCTGAGTTGGCTTCAATGAGTTGGTCGAATCTCCTCTTCACCAATCCGATTGTGTGTCTGTTAAACCCTCCGCCGGATATGACCATGGCTCCGGGGAAGGATTCCCAAGGACTGTGGAAGGAGAAGTACAGGGGGACGTCCTCCATGTCTGGATAATAAAAGTCTTTCGGTCGTGAGATGCTCATGGCGACCGAAATAGGGTCGAGGTCGGGGGATTTCTTCCATTCCTCGATATTCTTGGTTTTTGGTGCTTCGTCATGGGCACCCTCCTTCTTATAATGCTTGAGGTTCCCGTTATTGATCAGTATTTCGATTGCATCCTTGAGATGAATGCAATCCTGTGTTGTGACCATGACTCTTGTGGAACCTGCAATACTTGCTTTTGTCGGTTCCCGGCTTGGACGGTGTTTGTCGGAGGGAAGTGCACCCCGGCTTGCTTGAATTCAGAATTAGCGCATTCATAAAGAATATGCTCCCTTGAGGTTGTCAGAGGGGTGTAATCGTGGAAACGACCGGCAGGCCCCTTGTAGTCTTTAGGATCACAAGACTTGTCCTCCCGTTTCTTTTCTCCCCGACGAGATGTCGAGGGTTCGTCGTTCTTTGAGGACTTGGCACTCTCTTTGTGCCTAGATTCCCGGGCATTATTGGCCGCCTTCTTCTCCTCGTACTGTATATACGCCTGGGCCTTTAGGAGAAGGGAGTCGAGCGTGGCTGGTGTCTCTATGCCCATAACTTTGGCAAAGTCGTTGCAGGGACGGAGCCCGCGCTCGAGGAGGTACTTCTTCATATTGTCTGTTGTTGGGACTTGGACCGATTCCTTGTTGAAGCGTTCAATATATGCCTAGAGAGACTCGTCCCTACCCTATATGATTGCTTCGAGCGAAGCCTCTGATTTCGGGTGTTGACGGGAGGCGGTGAAATGCCTCGAAAATATCCTCCCGAGTTGTTTCCATGAGGTGATGGATTTGTCGGGGAGGCTTTTGTACCATGCCATTTCCCCCTTCCTGAGAGTGGCTGGGAAGAGTCTGCATTTGATGGCTCCCCTGACTCCTCGGTAGTCAAGGAGAGCGTCGATGTTCTCGATGTGCTTGTTAGGGTCTGTTGTTCTGTCGTAGGTTCCCAAAGTGGATGGCTTCTCTAGGACGACAACAAGTGGAGCTTCAGTAATCTCCCTCGATAGCGGGCCACGAGGCTCGTCATCCTCACTATCTGCAGGAGATAGAGATGGAGAGTGGTAGTTTCTTCCCCGTCAGTCGTCACGGTCCCATTGGGGAGAGGGGCTCCTCCGCTTCTGTTTTGGCTCGAGGGAGGCCAGTCGAGCACGATCGATTTGCCTATTGTCTTTCCTCTTCTTGAATTAAGGGGAGTCTTGATCTATGGCACGAGGTGTGCAGACGCGTTTCTTGAAGGAAGAAACGTCGCGCCTCTCCTTTTTGGGTGGTGGGCCACGCTGGGGTGGCGAAACAGTGGGGGAATTTCGTCGTCTGGTTCTCCGAGGAGGAGATCTTGATCGCATGTTCTCTCAGGCCCATATCCTTTGATTTTGTTGTAGGATGATGGTGTTGGTCTGATTGATAGCAGCAAGTAGTGCTGCCATGGCCGGGTCGGTGTTGAGAGGGATAAGAACTGGTTGCATGACTTTTGGCAGTTCCTCGGCATGATTCTTGGAGTGTCCCTTGTCCAAGAATTGGTCGCCTCTGTGTCGGGCGTTAGTGGAATCCGGAGACACGGTCTATCCATCTCGGAAGCCCGGGTTGTCCTCGAGATGAGGATGTTCTTGACTTCTGTCAGTTTTGCGAGCAGGGGAAAGAATGGTCTTTCCAAACATGTGAAGATCATCATGGTCGGCCATGATTAGTGAGAAGAATTTTGAAAAAGTTGTTTTGATATTAGGTTTCGAGGAAAGAAAGATGGGGAGAGCAAATTTCCATAGACGGTGCCACTGATATTACCGGTTGATCAGAACCTGAGAAGTGGCCGGAAGATAATCTGTAGTCGGGCTGTGAAGTCAAGGAGAAAAAAGGGGGTTGTACCTGCAAGGCACTTCGACGATCAAGTAAGTGCGGGAACAAGAAGGTACAAGCAAAGTATTAGGTAGTGAGTGATGAATATTGGATACCTGGCCCTCATAGGTGTGAGGGTATATATAATACCCCTGTTGCGTAGCCATTGGTTCCTGATTTTACGCCTAGATATACGGGTCTGTAAAACTAGGTAACTGCCAAGACTTGATCAAACCGGGCAGATGTGCTCGTGACTAGCTGTTGGTCCCGAGGAGGGGGTTAGTTACAGGCAGCTCTCTGGTCGATTCATGGTGGCTTGCACGAAGTTAATGTCGGGCAGGCTGAGAGGATGCTCATCGATCATCCTGGGTCGTGCTGGTTCGGGAGGGCAAACAATTGACATTGCCTGACAGGTAGCAGGCAATTCGGGTCATGGTCGTACGGGCCGTACCAAAGGAAATGTCTTAGACTGGGCCCATTCTAGTTGTCGGGTCAGTCCAGAACATAATCCATACAAATTTTATCATATGAGGAAATACTTTTTCAACATTAAAACTGTGATACGGTGGGAGAACTGATTGTTATACTAGTTTTGCATTTTTTAATCATAAATGTTGCGGTAAGCAAGAGTCTCCACTAACTTTTCTTTTATCCAACAAAGGAAATGGTGAAAAGAACAAAAAAAGACCTTTCGAGAGTATTTCTGAGTAAGGGGGTAGATTATGGAAAGAGAAGGTGTTAGCATCCTTTCCATCCGTAGTTATCT